TGTCGCTTTTAATTGTAATCTATACAATTATTGAAGTGTCTGTTTGTACAGTCGAAATAACAGCTTTTTACTATATTCATATGGAAGTATATACGGTACTTATAACAAAAACATGATTTTTAACATTTTTGTCTGTCTGTCTTTCTGTCTGTCGGTCGGTCTGTCTGTCTGTTTGTTCCGGCTAATCTCCGAAACGGCTGGACTGATTTTGACCGGACTTTCACTGGCAAGCTGATGTTATAAGAAGTAAATTAGGCTACTTTTATTTTAGAAAAAGTTAAAACCCATGAAATCCAATCGTAATAAATTACGTGCGGGCGAAGTCGCGGGGAACAGCTAGTGAAAAATAAAATACGATGTAGATTGTAGTGGCGGCGTAAGAAAATCCACTTTCCTATAACATTCCGTGGGTGTATAGAAAGATCATCTTACTAAGCAACTTATGGGGAAGGTTTATGTTCAGCAGTAGGTACTATAATGGATGGATGAATGGATGGATGAATAATGTAGAGCTGTAAAATTTACCGCACACCCACGTTAACCTTGCTTATTAACTCGAGTCCGATGTAAATTGTTAGTTTGCGACTTTGCGTAATTGTAAGTGTCGTAATTAAATGAAAGGTTGGCTGGGATGTAACTATCTATGACTATCCTGCTAAGTAGTTTTCAATAAACCTCTGATAATCTTGATTACTATCCCATTAAATACGTGATTACTATCCTACCCATTGTTTAGTCGTTGGAGTCCATTGGGGTCCATCAACACGACACACGATAGAGTAAAATGAAATGCTTCACTGCCTGGCATATAAATTGTATTTATACACCAAAATCACCTATCTATAAAAATTAACTGCCGTACGTCAGTCTCGCAAAATCTCAAAAATGGCTCGACTGATTTTGATGTGTGTTCGAGTGCATCTCTGTATGGTTTAGATTCTCAATTGAACCCATTGCTGGCGCTGTTGTCGAAATCCAGAAATAATCTGTGGAAAGCCGGGGCGGTCTGCTAGTCATTAATAAAATACAGAATATATACAGTACATAATATCCTATAAAATTTTTCTTCGACTGGTTTTTGTCCAAAATTCACGTTCGTTCGTTACGTTCGCCATTCAACAACTGGTAAACCATTCCTACCACAAGCTATTAAGCTTCTGGTAGGAGTTAACGAGAGTATTAGCAAAGTTAAAATGGTTACTAGTATCCTTCAAAAAAAAATAAAAAAAATCATTTACCATTCCATAATAGACACGCAATACGTAAAAATTCTAAGGACAAAATTATTTATTTATTTAAATTGTGTTACACCTTACTCATCATCTTCATTCCCCCTAATCAGCCCGTAAAGAGTGCTACTAGACGTGGTATATAATTTTCACTAATACGAAGTACATGCCATAATAATCATGCTTGGCATCTGATTTAATGATTACAATACCCAAAGTTTAGCACCTTTAACATTACTCCTGCCTGGGGATTTCAACAAGTAATCTCGTATTGAGTTGGTAGTGATAATACAAGAATTTTGACCCTTTTTAACTCATCCTGTTTACTTTGTTTACTCGTAAGTCGCCACCGCACTGTTTATTCATTTTTCTGTAACAGTACTGTGAAAACATCAGTGTCCATTACCAAATCTGGATTTAGTCTAGTCTGGACTAGATACCTTTTGATTCGCTGTAATACATTTGCTATTTTCAGGTATCTAAGTTTTCAAATTTTCTTTTTTTCCAAACTCTAAAGTTATATTTTGGTAATTTCTATAATTTTATCTTTTTTATCTATTTGTCTTCTTTTCTTTCCTTCTTAAGCAGTTTTTAAAATACACTACCGGTTTTCTTCAATCGAAATCAAATCTTCGTACTGATAATGCTGCTCCCCATCACCTTTCTTTTTTTTATAGGATAAGAGTGACAAACGAGCACACAGTCCACCTGATGGTAAGTGGTTGCTGTAGCCCATAGACATCTAAATCTATCCTCAAATATAAATCAAAATGCAGATGCGTTGGCACCCGTGAGGACTAAGATGGAATGCCTCGTTTCCAGAAAACAGGGTCTCCGGTTCCTACACTCACCAAACGAAAGACAGCAGCATTAAGCTGCTATTTCACGCTGGTATTCTGTGAGAGTGTGGTCCTTCCCCGGTCGAGCCGAACCATTCGTGCCACAACTATACAATTAATATAGCTACAGCATGGCTCTACCACGTAATGTACGTACGTAATGTTTCTGTGGCGGGAACGGTGTTTCGTATGGTGAGTGTAGAGAACCGAAGACCCTTTTTACTGGAAAAGACGCATTCCATCCTAGTCCTCACGGCTGACAACGCATCTGCATTTTGATTCGCAAACGAGGATAGATGTAGATGTCTATGGGCCACAGGAACCACTTACCATCAGGTAGACTGTGTTCTTGCTTGTCACCTTTATCCTATAAAAAAGGTAATTTGAAATTAGAATTCGCAGACAAACAAAAATGATTTTGATTTGAAACGGCCAGTACTGCAGAACAACAATTTCATAGGTAAAGACCTATTATTTTTTATAGTCAATATATGTGCTAACTCATCATTACAAATTTATCGTGTCTAAATACGTGTCATATTTAGGCCAAAGAAGCAATACAAAAATAGATCGCTTCATTGCTCCATAAATCTCTGATACATTACCTCGCAGCCAATTATAATTTCATAAATAGAACATCACAAACCATGATTTTTTTTTTATAAATTCAACAAAGAATATTTTTAATTATTAAAGAATTTTTTTCCAGAGGTGAATTAAAATGACGCTTTTGATTTCGCGTTTTATATAATAAATTTGAATCCATTTTAAAATAGGCTTTGCATATAGATATGTTTCCTGCTGTGCCTGTACGATTGCATCCCTGTCTCAATCCTGTTATTAAAATTTAGTAGCATAGTTAACTAAATAAAAAACGTTTGACGAACAAAATTTTAATGTCATACGTTAAAAAAATAGATGGGTATTTACACAGATCCGGATGGGTTATTCCGTTTATCCATCCTAGGGTGGATATTCGAAAACGCGTGTTCGCGGAATTCGCATCGTATCTCGGTTGTGTGCAGTCATTTATAAAAACATGATAGAAACTGGCCTAAGATTACTTAGTAGACAATAGCATACTTTAAAAAATACATACATACTCGTGCTTCTTGTTAAAACATCAAAACTTAAATTCTTTTAATTGTTCAATTACATATCATTCGATGTGACATAATTTACGTCTACGTACGTTTGTGAATTACTGTAAAAATACATGGCTCAATGACGAAAATTATGTGGCTGTTTGGAATTTATTCGAATTGTCCCATAAAACAATTTCAAATTAAATTAAAGACACATCCAAATTTATTAAAGTTTTTAGATTGCTTGCAAAACACGCTCAGTTGTTTTGCTAACACATTTGTTGTAAACACAGTTTCTTACACACAATAGTTTTTACAGTAGTTTATTTACAAATAATCCAAGGTAGTAACAAAGAAATTTAGAAAACGATTGCAAATGTACAAAGAGACATACAATTGCGTCTATTACGTCAATAACGAAATTAGTGTTGGTCATTTCCTGGACATATTGCAGAATTTATAAATTACTTATTATTATTTAAAACAAAGAAGTTTAATTTGGTTTAAATGCAATACGTAATATGATTTTTGTTTAAGTTTGTGGTTATTAAAAATTAACCAATAATATATTAAAGTATGAACATATTTTCTGTTGAACTGTACTTGGGATGGGAAGGCGGAACAACAATCAAAAAGTGAATTCCGACTATCAACCCCGTCTAGGGTGGATAAACGAACACGCGTTTCCGGGTATCCATCCTAGGATGGACTTTGATTAGGGTGGGTAAACGGAATAGCCCATCCGGATCAATTACATATCTGTACTTATTACTCGTATGTTCGAACTAGCCTCCATGGCATAAATAAGCTAACACAATTGAAAGCTCTTTTGCAATGCCTTTGGTTGAATTGTTTTGAATATATATGCATGGTAGAGCCACGGTGCGAATGGGTCGGCTCGACCGCTGTAGGGCCACGTTCTCACAGAATACCAGCGTGAAAGAGTAGCATAACGCTGCTGTATCTCGTATGGTGAGTGTAGAGAACCGGAGACCCTTTTTACTGGAAACTAGGCATTCCATTTAGTCCTTAGGATAATCGGGGATAAACGTAGATATCTAAGGGCCATGTCATCCACTTGTCATCAGGTGGACTGTGTGCTCGTTTGTCACCATTATTCCTCAAAAAAAATGTGATATTAAAACTTCGTAAATCCGGACCAATTGCCTTTTCACTAGTCTTGCATATAATAATCGATGCACACAGTAATTTATTCGTCGTGTCTTTTGACGTATTGAAGAAGAGCATAAGCATATGCTACTTCTATGAAATCCATACTTTACTTATCAAACCAACTGGTGAGAAATATTTCAATGTGCGCTAAAGTTAATCGCCCGACGAAACAATGTTCTTTATACGACTAATTCCACAACCGGCCGATTTCAACAGTTCTATGATCTTAGGTCACCGGTATGCGAAGTGTAGGACGACTCGCCTACCGGTGAAGTGGTAAGACATGCAGGAAGTCGATGGGTGCAGGTGCCTCAGAACCGTGCTATGTGGCATTCCTCGGGGAGGCCTATGTTCAGCAGTGGACTTGTGAAGGGCTGTAATGATGATGATGATGACCTTAGCTTTCATGTGCCGGTAGCTTTAATTCTAGCATTATATTTTTCTCTTTGCACTAATCTACCCTGGTCCGATCTAATGCTGAAAGCAATAAGATATAACGATAAACAATTACAACACATCTTAGACATGAAAAGGAATCTCTAGTATTATAATACTAATATTGACTTTTATAGAATCCTATATTCTAGTTCAGATTCTGAAATACTTAAAATTAAGCCACGCCTTAATGTTAAACATTAATAGTGTCAACACAATGTTTTAATTTTATATTCCAGGTGTTCATCAAGTCGGAGCTCAAAGTAGGAGTTATTTATGTCAAAGAGAACCAATACACAGAGGAAGAGATTCTCGACAACAACGAAAACTCCCCAATGTTTGACGAATTCTTGCAGGTTATGGGAGAAAAAGTTCGGTTAAAAGGTCAATTCTATTTATCAATTATATTAAATCAATATTATGTATTATATTTACCACGTGCTCGGCGGTAAAGGAAAATATCGTGAGGAAACGTGCATGACTGAGAAATAAGAATAAAAAGTATTTGGAAGACATGTGAAGTTCGCCAACACGCATTGGGGCAGCGCGGCGGACACTTCGTTGCCCTACAACTCTCTCAGAAATGAGAGGAGGGCTGTGCCCAGCAGTGAGACGTATATAGGCTGTTACTTTAAATTTAACTTTTAATATTATGTATTAAAGAAAGTAAAAGCTGGGCTAGAGCATATAACCATGCGTTTCCCGGAACGAACTATTTTGTTTTTCAATGGGCCGATCAGCACATACGTAGGTTTCTCCGGCAGCTCGGCATCTTATGCTTTCACTAGTCGGGGCTTACTTTCAACCTATAAACGTTCTACTGGCACCTTAACAACCGCTGTAATTTTTTGAATTATATATAAATATTACAATATAATTTTACCTTGTGTAATTTTTTTATTCGCAGGAGATCTAATCTAAAATAACGATGTTTTGACTACAATTTTAATTTACATATTTTAGGTTTCGACAAATACAAGGGCGGTCTAGACACAGTACACGATCTCACAGGCTTATACTCAGTGTACACCAACTGGAGGGGCATCGAAATTATGTTTCACGTTTCTACACTATTACCTTACGAGCGTCATGACCCCCAGAAGTTGCAGAGAAAACGACACATTGGAAATGATATTGTTTGTGTCGTGTTCCTTGAAGCTGACAACACTGCATTCTCGCCAGCTTGTATCAAAAGCCATTTCTTACATACCTTTATTTTAGGTAAGTTATAATTTCGTGGAAATAAATTAAATTATGAAAGTTCAATAATTTCAGAACATAAATTTTATGGCCTAATAAACCGTAAGCATGTCGGCAAACAACTAGACTTATAATATAATACATATTTCTTTATAAATTACTCAAATGTCTGTTGTTTTCACCTCTTTCTATCGTTCTGTAAACTTAATACAAAATATAAACTGTATTGTATTTTCTTAGTATTTTAAATCACTAAATAAGAAGGTAATAGGTATTGTAGTCGAAAATGCTAGAGAATGGTACATTGCACAACAAATGCGCCAATAACGAGCATGATCAATATGCAAGTAGTTACGTAGTTCAAGTAATAGTTTACAAACCCACTTTATTGACTTCATCCAAATTTTTACGCAACAACTAATTAAGATAACTTTAAAAACTTAAGCTGTAACAATAAAAATGTAACCATACTTATATTTTGAATTTTATAAAATTTTTCTAAAAATTAGATGTCACCCTTGATTTTTTTTTTATATTTCATAAATGGATTATAATCAGTATTGCCACTCGTACGCCAGTTTTACAGAAAATAAGGTAGCTTTTAACGCTTTTTAAACTGATGGCATAATGAGAAACCACTTCTACTAATCACTCCATCACTTTAATAGCAGCATTTTTTTTTCATTTGCAGTTAGAGTATCTGCTAAAATCAAGAGGCGCCCTACGAGATATGAAGTGTCTGTTGTAACTCGAGATGAGGTCGGCGCCTATAAGCCCTATTTGTGGGAGCAGAGTGTGTTTGACAAGGGCCCTATGTTCAGGTTGGTAATTTGATTTCTGCCAGTAATTAATAAATGAGTTCATTACTGATTGAAATTTTAGAACATTTTGAATGTATATGATATAACTTAAACTTCGATAGCAGTGATACTTTTTTTAATAGGATAGGGTGACAAACGAGCACACAGTCCACCTGATGTTAAGTGGTTGCTGTGACCCATAGACATCTACATTTATCCTCAATAAAGAATCAACTAAGATGGAATGCCTCTTTTCCAGTAAAATGGGTCTCCGGTTCTCTACATTCACCATACGAAACACAGCAGTGTCAAGCTGCCATTTTACGCTGGTATTCTGTGAGCGCGTGGTCCTTCCCCGGTCGAGCCGACCCATTCTTGCTACAACTATACTACTAATATAGTTGCAGCATGACTCTACTTTAAAATTTTAATTAAATTAAATTTAAACATTTTAATGCAACTCTACTTTTAAAAATAATATAAAAAAGGGCTAGCTTGAAGCTTATCATTGCTATCGAAGCAATAATACTAGTGATAGGTCTAAGGGTTTTTTTATATAGAAGGGGCAAACGAGCATCCAGCTCATCTGATGGTAAGTGACTACCGCCGCCTATGAACAACTGCAACACCAATGGAATTGCAGGTTCGTTGGCGGCCTTTTAAAAAAAGTTACTCTTATTCTTAATCGTTTAATACGGTCTATAAAGCGATAAAAAGTGTATAAAGCGATTTTTAAAAGCAAATTTTATTACAAGCTTTTATTATTAGATATTCTCGTTGCTGTCCGCAAACATTGATTTTTTGTAAAAAAAAAAATAACAATTCAACTAGACGACAGGTGCATCATGTTTTTTCCTTAATCGCTACTTACAATAAACTATTATTAAACATATAGATATAATATGCTTTCTTATCAACATTTTGTCTCTTTCTAACAGACTTGATAAAGGAGGAAGTACTCAATTCGACTGTATTTTTTTATGTATGTTATCTCGTAACTTTTTTTCTACTGATTTTGATGATTCTTTTTTAATTGAAAGCTGGTGCTACTCATGTGGTCTCATGTAAATTTGATCAATGTCTGACTAGTAGTATTTGAGTTATCTTTAATAATTTATACAGAAGTCGGTTATATAAAATTTTTAACTTTACCACTTGTCGACTCTTTTTTTAAATTTTCTCTTCATCTTCTTTGTCGAGCTCTATTTGGTGTATTATTACAGTGGATTATTTCACTGCTGAATTAAGGCCCTTTCTGGGGTATTCGCCACGATCACAATACTTTGCAGGGTAATTAGTAATCGCAGTACTCGTACTAGCACCTTTGGCGCTGCACCTCGTCGCTGGTCTGGATAATTTACGTCTGGCAAACGTAAAACTATTATCTGTCGGAGGCCACAAAATTTTCTGGAGTTTCCTATAGTCGCCTCTTACAACACCCACGGAAAGAAATGGGGAAATTCTCATAAGCCGCCACACGGAATCTAAAATCGGTGCCATTGAAAAACCTTAAAAATGGGAAGTTTATGATTATAATATAATTACGAACTATACTAATATGAATAATATAGGTACTATAATGGCTATTAATACAGACAGACAAACAGATTGGGAGCCTTATTTCTGCAGCATATGGTTTAAAAAAATAATTAAATCTTACCAGTGTTGAAACAGCTAGACTAGTTTACTTTAGCTATTTCAATAGCATAATTTCGTATGATGTTTTGCTATGGGGACACGCGACTGACACTGACATTATATTTGTTTTACTGAAGAGGGTCATAAGAGCAATCTATGATTTAAAACCTAAAGAGTAACTCAGACAAAAGTTTAAAGAAATTAATATATTAACTTTGGCCTCTCAATACATTTATAAAAATGTAATGTATTACAAAAAAATGAAAGTAGTTTAAATTTTTTTGTATACAAAAAAAAAACATTATTTCCTAGGGAACAAAAAAAATATATTCCGTATGCTTATTTTCCAGGGAATGGTTGCTAACGAAAATTGTGAATGGCGAGCGGGCATCCTACTCCGCACCTAAATTTGCGAGAATGCAAGAAAGGACCCGCAGTCAGATGCTAGAAGATATCGTTGCTAATTTGCAAAATCATGCAGAAACCGGACAAATACCCAAACCATACAGAAGAGGTGAGTGCTCAATACATAAAGAATTTTAGTAAAGTTATAATTATAAAAAGCGACAGTAATTGTTCAATGGTGCGGTTGCGCATCCCAAAGATGGCGTGTTTGAATCTTCGTCGCTAGAGTAGTCAAACGGAGAATAAAAAAAAGAGTTTTTGATTACTTTTTTTGGGAAAATGTCTATGTCTACGCCACGCGAGTTATGTCGGACTCGCAGCGATTAAAAGTCATCCGCGCACGCATCTACGGCCTCACTATCTCCAGGTGCCTCTTGACGGCCCCTCCTCGGTATAGAACAAGTCCTTCCTACTTCACCTCTTAGGGCAATGCGTGCTGAAACGCATCATTAACTCCGTTTCAGATTCAAAAATTATTAGATTGTTTCTTAATTCCTTTCAATTCTAAACATAAACGTCTGCAATAACCACATGTATATTTTATAGCCAATATTTTCGTTTCAATTCCAGGATCTTGGCGTCCAATAGGCCACATGCGGCCGTCGTCTCCTCTCCTCGACTCTGTACGAGACCAGTTTGAAGACTACGACCAACTGGCAAAAGATTTTACCCGCGTGTTCTTGAATAACGAATTAAACATAGCGCAGAATGCTCAGCTTTTCGACGTCGTTTTCCTTGTCGGACAATCAAAACAAAAGACTAAGTTCATTGGAGTCCGTGCTATACTAGGAGTTAGAAGCCGGTAAGTCTTCGAAATTTGTCTGAAGTTTTCAAAATTTAACCTCCTTTTTAGTGCTTCAGTTATTTTATTAATGGGTCTATTATTATTTCTCATTCTGTATAAATTATGCTTTTGTAATAAAACATCATTTTTGTAATATGCATATAACATAACGCAAACCTGAGGAGTTTCTTTTATGTGGTAGAAGATTTGGAGAAAAATATTAAATTTGACAAATATTTGAAAAAGAATTGAATATATTTCATTTTATTTAAAAAATATATAACAATAGAGAACATTTTTATGTTACTTAACATTCACTAAAATATAAAAAAATATAACTTTTACACCTTTTCTCTTCCGTGGTTGATGCATCCCACTAGATGAGACACCCGATGCTTATATATAAAGTCTACAATTTGTGTTTGCACAAATGTTGTCTCAGTATAGATAGCCTAGGACCACGAAGCAATAACCAACAGAATGATTGTGTAAGTCTGATGAAAATCATTTGCTGTTGGAACACTCCCCAACTGCCTTGTGCGTTTTCATTATTATAACACTATGATACTGGGAATTGACAATCGCAGAACCCATTGAGTTATATGTACTACTTACTAGAGAAGCTATTCGTAACAAAAATTGTGCGCTACTCTATGTCTTCCCGCATGCGCGAGAGATAATAGAGTCGCGCATGCGCGAAGACTTTAAATTAATGTAAAATAAGATATTAATATAAAATAAATATAAGAATTTAATATAAAATATTCATATTTTAATCTATATAAACATATTTCTAAATAAAATGTAATAATAATTATCTTATGGCATTCATAAATCTTCATTTACGCAATATTTAGTTTAGTATTATATATATACATACATACATATATATATATATATATATATATATATATATATATATATATATATATATATATCGAAGGCAGAACCAGTCACGCATCTTTGACACTTTCTCCTATGGTTTAAATTGAAACTGCTGCTGGAGCTGTTCTCCTGTGGTGTAAATGAGATGGATACCAATGGCTATCGGAAGTATTAATATGTTTGAGGGTTTTTCAATTTTAGCCTCTTAATACACCCACGGGACGAAATAGAGTGATAAATTATTCTTACGCCTACACCACGTAGTGTTACTTCTATATAGCATGATATGGTAGCAGAGCGTGACGCCATTGATACCCAATGAAAGGAGAGCAATTAAGATTCTTAGTACAGCAGTCGTTTATCTGTTTGCTAAATATCGCCAATACAATAAAAAAAATTCTAGTTCAAGGTCGCAGCCTCATATTGACCACACTATATCTTTATATATAAAAATTACCTGTCACATTGTTTGTCCGCGATGTACTCCTAAACTAGTGAACTGATTTCAATGAAATTTTATAAACTGTGTGCAGTTTGATCCAACTTGAGAGATAGGATAGTTTTAAGAATTTTTTATAGGAAGGGTCGACGGAAAGGGCAGACTAGAACTAACTAGAATATATAGGTACTACCTAGCCAGGCAACGTCTGCCTGGCTAGGTAATACTTATATATATATATATATATATATATATATATATATATATATATAATATATATATATATATAAGGCTTTCCCTTATACGTTTCTTACGTTCTGTTCCAGCGTGTTCCAGGAAATGCTGTACGGTATCCAAACAGGCTTCGGTTCTCCCCAAGTGCCGGTGGCCGAGCTACTGGCGCGGCCAGCTCCCACCCTTCTGTCGCCGACGCCTTCGCGGCAGAAGAGCAGCAATTTCTTACAAGTCCCGGACATTGAATCACCCAGGTAATTTATATATTAGGTATACAAGAAATTCGCATTTCGTTAAAATGTTTAAACAATCAGGGCTAATAACCTTACGCTCACCAGATGTCGCTAGTTCGGACTGAGGTGAAATTATTTGTTACGTAGATGGTCATACAGTGTCATCATTATTGAAAAGTTGCGATTTAATTATCAGGGTTTTGGTTTCTAGTGTATTTATATATGTTACGACTAAAAGCCGAAGTGCGGTTGCACGTAGTTCTAGCCGGCTAGAACTAGGTGCGACCAGCAGTAGTTGCTTAAATTTAGGTGTACTGTTAAATTTGTAAAAACACGTATATACGTATCAAGTAATATCAGCGACTTAGCGACAGGAGCGGTTACCGTAAACCGTAAACCGCAAAAATTTGTCTAATTTATAAATTATATATGATACACCTAAGTTTAACCAATCGCAAAAGGATGTACCTAGTTCTAGCCGGCTAGAACTAGACGTATCCGCAGTTCGGCTTTTAGCCGTAACATATACATAAAACAATGCCTCAGTGGTGTATTCTTTGATTTTTAACACGTTTTTTATCTTTTTTTTAATTTTTCTACTTTTAGGAATATCCGTGGTTGGGTTTATCTATTTCTAATCTAATTAATATAAAATATAGCTAATATTTCAGAAAGTAACACTAATCTCTATACTTTTCTAAAAAATTAACTTCATCCGCTATGAAATCTGTCAAATATTTTACCAAATTCCTAGGTAGCGCCACTCTGGTGTCAGAAAAAATATTTTCATTAGTAGGCATGTAAAAGTTCATAGTATCAAGGCAATCATACTAAACTGAGTAAATGGGATAAATAATGCTAAATTACATACATATATAAACTGCATATTTGTGCCACTTGCTGTAGAGACTATCGGTCCATGGGGTCCACGGCGGGAAAGTTTCTAAAAAAAACCGCGTCTGATCTGGGACTGGCTGGAGATGACTACTTTACGTTACGGCTAGCCAATTGATTTTGAACTTACAATCTTAATGTTCCATCATGAAGACTCTGCACGAAGTCAACTTTCATTCTCGTAGACCACTTTGGATTTCAGTAGGGAAGAGGCAATCGCGGAGAAAGGTTACAATGGGCAAACGAACATTTAGCTGGGAGCGATCGCCAATGCTTTAGGGTTTTATTCTCAGATGAATTAATAAATTATGTTTTCGCGGCACAAAAAAATCGTCTATGGCGAACACCTGGACTTGAGATCCACCTGAAAAAAAAACAATGAATTTATTCAGTTATATAGGTGGAACAATAATCGTTTAACCAGTAATACGCCTTGGTGCTGTCTACCAGTTCTTCCAAACTGACCTAGTTTGTCTACACGGCAATAAAATTACTGCAAAATACCGTTACAGGGTGCTGAAATCTGTAATCCGTACACTCCGATTGATCTTGACCCATTTGTCCAAGATTTTATGCATAAAATGATAATGTTCGCCCCCATTATCTTGCCACAGATTTAAATTTTATCTCCAGATTAAAATTCGATTAATGCTTCAACAAAAAGTAATCCAAAATTATCCTGTAAATCAGGAAACTGAAAGTGATGTTATCCCGCAAAGATATTTTGATAACTTTATTTTGATTATGAGTAATCGTTGCAAATGCAGGATGCTTTATCAAAAACATACAGATTTAAAAAAATGTTGTTTGTTTTTTATTTGTAACAAATTCACTATTTTATTTTATTTCGTTTCTTTCTTTAATCACCAAAAACAGAAAATCTTATTTTAGTACATTTTTTTTTACTATAAAAGTAGTATTTTTAAAGCAATAACTTATTTTTTTTTAATATTTCCGGTAAGAGTGTATAATACTGAGCATTTTTGATAAAAGGATGTTCAAGAAATTCTTTATAGTTTCTTTTAAATATATTGAATTAACTATCTGTAGACTGTGTTGATGTGTTTAAAAATAAATCTACTACTAACCTACAGAAATGTTGTGGCCAGACTATGCATATTAATAGACTGTTACAATATGGGATATTAATAGAATTATCGGCCGTAACTTTTGAACGAAGAATTTTTTGTTTTATATTTTAATATTTCAATTAAATTTAACGCAGGTTCCGTCAGGTATTGTTAGACGGTATGTTGTGCAATACCTGCTCAATAATCAAAATACATAAGACTATAAATTTGAATTGATATTTATCAATCTAAATTATAATAATTTAATAAATAAATATACCAATTGATCAGCAAACTCGGATTTTAACGCGGGGTCTAAGGGCAACTCAACTTTTATCTAAATATTAAGCGGCTCGGTTTTACGTTATAAGACTGTACTACAACTTTGTACAGGTTTTGAATGGTCATGAGTGCTCTCTATAAAACTTAACTACATACTCATTGAAATCTAAACCCAATTTTTAAAACATTTTTTGGATATACCGCCTTTTCACAGTTGCCAGAGCCTCACAGGTTGTGCTACATAAAGTTAGCGATCATAAATCATAAGCTGTTATATCACCAATATCCGATGTTTCAAATCTGCAGAGGTAAATTCTTGTTAAAATTTAATGCGTACTAATTTTAAACTATATCTATATTTCTGTACAAGTGAGGGTACAGCCCGCTTAAATAGGTGCTGTGGCCTAAAGACATTTACAACTCTTCATTAAAAATTTAAAATACATATGTACTCCTAAGAACTAAGGTAAATTAACAGAATGAAGATGATGATGACTCGTTACCAGTAAAAGTTTTTCTTCCAATACTTACAATGGGAGTAGGCCGATGAGAAGCCAAGGTTTATGAAGCCTGTAACTTCACTTTACGTACCTATAATGTACTTTTTCTGTGTTAATATGAAATAAAAATATTAAACACGAATTTCTAGACCCAAAAGCGTGCCAAGTTCACCGATGGTGAAACGAGCATTCTCCCGCCTTGGAACGATCACCGCCGGATGGGGACGATCCATTCGCAAACAACATTCTCAGCTTAACGCCGATGATAAAAAGAAGTGGTCCAGCTCTCAAGATTGCTCTAGTAAGTATATTATGAGTAGGTATATCACGACTTAAGACCTATTGTTCTATTATTAATATAGTACGTGAGGGTAATATGGGCACCCGGTTAATATGGTCACTTTCTTAAAACTCAAAAACCACAGCGTCGTTTGCATAGGTGGCTCTGTGATACGATAGCTCTCTAGCCGTCAATCAAATAATAAAGGGACAAAAGGGCACTGCTTTATCGACACCATTTTGACAGTTGAGTAATATAGTAAAAATTTTTGTTTACTTTAGTATTGTGTAGCGTAGTTTTTAAAAAACGTTACCCCCACACTATGATTTTCTCCTGTATCGTGGAGGCATTTTACAAACATAAATTGCACGAGGACAAACATCCAGACCCGGAACAATATTACAGTTGTAGGCTATACAAATATTTGTTCCGTGCGGGATTTACTTTTTAATAAGTTGATTTTTCGAAATGTTCATAAGTTCCGAGGTTTTATATGACGGCTAAGCTTAAGGTGACCATATTACCCTCACGTACCTTATTAGAAATCACACTGGTGCGTCTGACAAGTGTGTTGTCTTTTTTTAAAGTTGATAATTATGCATCTAATACACGCAAAACTTTCCTCAAGACCCTACAGGGTCAAAAATATACAAAACTATTTAAAAGTGATAACGTCAAAGTTATCACAATTTCTATTTGTACTATACTTAATAAGCTTTAGAAAATGAAATCCCAAATGCTAGGGTACAAAATTTATTTATATTTCGGTTCCGTGAAAGTACATTGGTTCATGAGACTTTCCTGAAAAATAATTTAATTGAATATTCGAATTATTTAATTGAATACCTACTAATTAAATTTTCTTATTTCGTTCAACCTGTACAGTATATCATGTCTTTTACTCCTTTCGTCTACAATCTAGAGATTCGTGACATACGGATGGACAAACGGATAGTCAGACATACACACAGCAGAATGACATTAATAAGACTCCTTTCTCTTTGGGTACGAAACCCTAAAAATAAATAGGTCGGAGTATTCTCATTCTTATTATTATTAATTATTATAAGGTCACTTATCTATAGAAGTAGTGCTAAATGACGTTTAAAAAAACTACTTCTACACTTGGCACACTTCCATTGCAGCAGATGAAGGATGCGAATAATGACGCTGACGTTGCGACGAAAACAAGCAATTTGTTATGTTGGAATTCAGTAATGCTATAATAGACACGCGATTGAAATTTACACTACTGTGAATTTTTATAGTTTTAATAATTTTTTGGATTTTATGTTTGTTGTAATGGTTTCTGATTATACTTTAAATTGTTACACTTTTTAAAAAAAATATAAATTACACCTGACTGTATTCATTATAATCGTTTTAGTGTAATTACACTCAAGAACAAGTGGTAAAATTAAAAATTTTGTACAACCGACTTCAACATAAATATAATTTATTGTTGATTTTCTTAAAAACCGCTCGACCGATTTCGTTAAAATTTATACCCTTTTAAACAAAAAAGAATTTTCCAAATCCGTTCAGGCCTCTTCAAGTAATCGGTGAACATCCGATTCCGGCGAATTGTCGGTTGAAAAGAAGCTTGACTGTGTTTATTACGTCAAAAAAAAGATAAGATTCTATGGCTTTTTAATTTTTTCTTTTAAATCTTTATTTAAGAGCTTAATCAAAATGCGATTATGTCGCTCTATTTGACATCATTTAGAACTAAATAACATTCAATTTAACAAGCAAACAAAAATGAAAACAAGTACTATCTAATTAACTGATCTGAGGAAAATATTATGTTATATAATATTTTCCTCAGGCTTTTTAATAAGGTAATAAATGTCTAAAATAAGACGAGATAAACATTCAACAATAGCAGTTGCTGTGTTTTGGCGGCGTAAGAGAATAATATGGCCCGTCTTCTTACATGAGTATCGTAAATAGCAACAAAGCAAAGGGATAAAATAAAAATACAAAAGCATTTCGAAAATTTTCTGATCCTAAGTAACCTAATCAATAACGGGAGCATCTCGAGGCGATCACAAGCTTTCTAGCGTAGCGATCTGCTACGATTTCATTTAAGTTTACGTTGAGTATTGTTTAAAGACTGATGATGATGATGATGATGATGTAATACTATATGTGCGTATATTAGACGATTTTTTTTATAACTGGCATTACGGCTCTGGGTTCTAGCCCTCTGAGCCTGAAGTACAATGTATAATTATTCTTCATAGTACACTGCTTCACAATATGTTGATGCGTCACATTGTGCAGCCCCTGGGAGATTTTAACGGTAACTTGAGCCAGCAGACAGCTGATAATTGGCGATGGTATCTCAAAGCGCCTAAGCAAACAGACACCTTATCTTAACAATCACATCACCATCAGAGCACTTGTTTCACCATTTCTACTAATAGTTCACATGCACAGACACTTAACACACAAAATCGCACCACTTTTACATATTAAAATCCACTTCAAACCATTACTTAAACAATAATACAGAAGCAGCAAACCGCCGGCGGTCAAGTTCCCGCCAAAACTCAGTATATTAGACGACCACGAGACCAGGTACAGAGTATAACAGTGACAGAGGTAGCTATAGAGTACCCATCAATAGATAGAGCTTGAACTCCAGTCGGAGCCAACATTTTTATAAAAGCACAAATTGTATTTTAATTGTCCTCATAACACACTGCGTCCAATCTAATCACATATTAACCGTTACATGGAACATGTGTGGGCTCAAACACAGTTAGGAACTAGTTAGGACTAGTTAGTGCCCTTTGTGTTCGAATGTGCACTTGTGACACTATAATATTTCAGCGGGATAAATGCTGACTTCCAAATATTCGTAAAAGTTCATTTTTCAGATAGGAAGATATGTCAAGTAAATACAAAATAAACAATCAATTTTTATTTACAGATAAAGATAGTAAAGACAAAGAAAAAGAAAAGAACGCCGCGTTAGCTGTACCAAGACTATCAGTATGCGCTGACGCACAAAAAGTCGATCGTGCCAAACTTGCACAAACTGAGGTAATTCTCTTTTCTCTCTTTTGCGTTAATTGAACTATATCCATTACTAACATCAGCATAAAGGACCTACTATGTATAATATACATACTTTTTCTGTATATATAATATGTATCATCATCATTTCATTATTATAGCGATTCACAAGTCCACTGCTGAACAAAGACCTCTCCCAAGAAACGTGACACAGCACGGTCCTGATCCCATTGCATCCATCAAATTCCTGCATCTCTTACCATATCAACACTTCATATAGTGGGTACACTTCCCTTAACGGTACGAGGCTGCCACTCGAGAACATTTTTTCCTTCGGTTGTCGGTTCTTCGAGCTATACGGCTGGCCCATTGCCATTTCGTTATATATATATATATATATATATATATATATATATATATATATATATATACATACATAATAATTCGTGGCGCTGCATCCGTTACTCTGGTTCAACTGCCGATATAACACAGAGTAACTCGGAGCACTGTTCGTTCCATCACCAGCACGTTAGGGCCATCTCTCAAATCCTGCCATCACTGGCAACACGCACTGGTTGTACACTCTTGTTTTTTAAGTTTTGGGTGTACATGACGAGAAGATGTGTCGTAATTGCCCAAACCCTGCCTAGCTCGGTGGAGTGGGATTTACTTTTCTCTTGTCTCTTGTCTTGTCTATGTTTGTTTTAAGACCGTTCCGTTGCTCTCAACGTTGTTGTCTCTACACTATTGAGGGCATTGAGCATAGTACTGAGGATCTGCAGCGATGTTGTCCATATCGTCGGTAAATCTAAGGTGAGTGATGTAGTCGCCATTGATGCTGATACTACATCAATAGTACAGTAGCTTGAAAATGTCTTCCAATCCAGCGGTTAAAATTTCTGGGTCATAACATCACCTTGTCTTACACCTCTCTGCAGTTGGATACGCTTCATACTCTAGTTCGTATAGCCATAGTCTCGTATAGTCATCGTAGCCTTACTGGAATTACACTTCAGCACTTTGATGTGCTGAAATTGGACTTGGCACCGCTGAAGAGACTGTCTAAAATTTCATTAAATTAAAGACTTTCTCATAGTTTACATGCGCAAAAAAGTGGTAGATTGTACTCTTCGATCTTTCGTACATTTTACCGAAGGCTATTGTACATATGTGGTCTATGATACAAAAGCCTTTTCTTTGTTTCTGTCAAACACCGCACTTAAACACGGCTCAGAAAGGAAATCGGTCTGTAATTCTTTAATGACGCCTACTACTACTACTACGCCTACGCCTACTCTAATACTGGGTTAAAATAAATTGATGAATTCGAAGATTACCTCTTTTCGGACGACATATAATCCTATAATATTCCAGTGCAACTCGTTTATCTCTTTTCCAACTCCAGAATTTTCTCTTCAATGCTTCAGGTGCGTGCGTTAAATGTTGTTAGATTGAGTCAGCAAAGGTAATAACCTAACTAATTATAAATTGACCAAACATGTTAGGTTATATTTTCCATTCATTTTATTATTAGTATCATAAAAAAATGGAAATTAGTACGAGTATAAAATGAAACTTCGTATAGTTTTGCTTACACTATACACTGAGTGACGTGATAATTGTTGTTGCCCTTGAGGAAGATGACTACGCCTGCCGTAATACAGTGCTAACTGGTACGAAGGGTAGAAAATTAACTTTTCTGTAACAATATTATCATAACTCGCAATGTATTTTGTTTACCTCATTTAAATTTGGATTTGTATTAGCTTTTCACTTAAATGTGTAAAGTTATTGTTAGGTGGTAAGATCTAAGTAAGTCTTTGCTCTATTATAAGATGTGATTTGTAACTTGTTGATAAATAAATAAATAAATAAAAAATAAACCGAACCTCCACCGGATATTCTAAGCACCCCTGCCCCGCCAGGACTAGTTGGGTCGCCGTGGCCTGCGGCCATTTTTATTTCGTTGTTCACATGGGGATATTTGGCATCATTGCTACGCTTGCAAGCGGGTTGGCAACATCGAGTAATGCTTGGTCACCTATCTACTGAATATTATGTATTTATGCAATTTTTGTATTTTTCAGTTCTCAATAATAGAATTCGACCCGGATACTTTCCGCATATTGTTGGACTACTTGCATACCGGGAGTTGCCCTCTCACTTGCGCGTCCATACCAGGGCTCATCTGTGCGGCTGAACATTACGACTTGCCGGAACTTTTGCAAGCCTGTTTCCATCATGCCAAACAATTCCTTAGAATAGAAGTGGTAAGTAGAATACTTGAATAGCATAAAAGCATACTCAATTTAGAACTGATCCAATTTCGAAATAAGACTTACATTTTTATATCAGTAATCAATCAGTAAATCAAAGACAAATTCAAATTATTTTTATTCACAACCGGCCTTTACAAAGCTACACCATGGCTTTAACGAACCTTGAGAAAAGAAGTGGCAAGAAATTCACAAGTAGACTGCTTTGTCCCAATAGTTACCTACAATTCTACTCTATAAAATAAATAATAGTCCAAGAGCTGGCGGCAAAAATCGACAAGAGTTTAGTAACGGCCCATAATTCAATATGGTTTAATATTGAGGGTGTACATGAGTCAGCACCCACTCGCAAGGTGAGGTAGTGGAACACCTGGCGGCGGCGCGCTTTGATATATGTAAAATTACAACATGCTCTACAAGTGTTTAGTAATAATTGAAAATTGGCAAGAAACTAGTTTATACTATAAAAAAGGGGGGAAAGTGGTCAGACCGCAACAAGCACCTTGAAGCAGCAAATTCTGATATTACGCATATTGTATTACACTCATTACGTCTAAGATATTAAAATAATTACAGAATTAATATTATCCAAAATGAACTGTGCTAAAATGAAATAATATCTATGAGTCTTTTGGTCTTATATTGTGTGTATAGCAGTAGCTCTTTTCTGTAGAATTAATTTTCAATATCAATCGCCGACCTCCAGAACAATAAATCCATGGGACATTTTACTTTAAAATTGTTGAAATAAACAACCAATCTTGCTGCATCTTCATAAGTTAACAGCCTTATTTTTAAACCGCATTTACAGCAGAATTAAGGGTCTTGATAAGATTTGAAAATGAGGTTTCCATTGTAGACGGAAGTCAATATAATGATAGCAAGGAAAACTGGGCCATCTAATCTTCAAGTTTGTTATATATTTTATAATATATATGTACCTTGTATTTAGTAAAGTTTTAGGACATTTCATTTAGGTGCCAGTTTGAGTAATAATTAATCGTTACATATGAGCCTTGTACCTCAATCAACTTTAAACAATTAAGTAGTTTCATCAGCACACAATACTCTGTTATTCTTTATAGAATATCATATATTATGTGTTGGTTGGTTATAGTATAATATATGTGTAAGTATAAGTGATGATCTACTTCCGGCTGACTTGACATACTGGCGTCATATTCACACAATTCGTCATTGACGCCGCAAAGGGGCGAACCTCAATTTATTAAAAAATTACAGGAGAACAAGAAAACATTTATTATTCCCCGCTTACTAGCTTTTTTTCATCAGAAAATAAAAAATATAAGACTTAATGGAAAACTACAAATAAGATTAATTGCGGCGTCAACGACGAATTATATATTTGTACTGTCGAGGCGATGGCCTATAGCTATGCTAGGATCGATACGTGGCACTGTTTTCAAGTAATTTTTAAATTCTACATTCATGTACCGAAATTACACCTATTCACAATATATGATGATTTAGTAGCACGAAGAAAATCACAAAGTAGCACTTTTATCGAGTTATTAATAAAATTTGTATTTACGCTGCAAAATTTTAGAATTATAGAAATTAAACTTATGGCGCCACCTACCGGAAAGGCCAGAATAACATCTGCCGGGCTTAGCAGCTAGTTCTTAAATAAAATCTGAACTATTTTTCGCTACTTCATACATTCTAAAGTTGTTTTTGTATTTGTCTTTTAGGCATGTACGATGTTAATATCCCTGGAAAATTATTATTGGAGATATACGTCAGCGTCGGAATTGGTCAATATGATTCTAGCTTTTATTGAACAGAAAGCGTACGCTCTGTTCCAAACGTCTGAATTTCTTAATCTTTCCGAATCCATGGTACAAATGATCATGTGCAGAAACCTTGAAGTGCCAGAGGTGAGAAAGTTTGAAGCTATGCTCAGTTGGGCCCGGAACAAAATTAAATCTAAATCTACCAATAAGACTGACGCCAAAAATGAATTTAAAACTATTATGGAGAGGTTAGCCAGAGACCTTAAACTTTATAGGATTTCACCGCAGGAATTAATCAAAGTAGTGCTCCCCTCCAAGGCCATAAAGAACGAGCGTATTCTGGAAACATTAATGTATCAAGCTAATTCAGGAATGTACAGAATTCAAGACAGCTATATTGAGGCATGTCAGCAGCGATTACAGAAACAAGACTCAAGATTCTCCGAATTCGAAAGTTTCGACTACGGTATGTAAACTGGAGCTGTGAGATATATCAGAGTATTATATAAATTGTAAAGGGTGATCTGATTGGGTTCTCCTCGTATTGTGGTATGTTGTCGCCTTCTATAAGTATTATTGTTATAATATATGTACTTGAGTAGAGGTGCGAGAAATATTTGTACACTTCTCGGATACCTGATCCTTGTTGTTGTTTATTGATACCTATATTTTTTACATCTAGCTAAAAGTGTTCAGTATAATTATCTCTATTTTTGGTACCAAAAGTTTGCGATAATGTACACTTAACCTGACGATTATTGTACAGTTGGCCTGTAGCAGTTTATACCTTTCTATGTAAGTACAGTTACAAACATTTTTCCCTTTCTGTGATCCAACAGTGAGAAAAGTATTAAGGATCATTCCCTGGGGATTATTCACCGATATTTCGTAAACGTAACATTTAGGATGGTTTGTAATATCAGGCGTTTCTTTACAAAAACCGTCACAAAATATAGTAAGTTTAGGAAAATACTAAATAAGCATAAAGTACTTACTAAATACGAAATTATTTAAGTAAATTAAGAAAATGTTAACAAAAACTAAACCTACTATAAACATTATTTTTATTGTATGCACAATCTTAATAAAAAAATGGATAAAGATTTTAAAAAGTTTAATATTATGATTTTATATGGAATAATGGTGACAAACGAGCACACAGTCACCTGGTGGTAAGTGGATGCTATGAACAATATACATCTACATCTATCCTCGATTAAATCAAATAAAGAATCAAAATGAAGATGCGTTGTCACCCCTAAGGACTAATATGGAATGCCTCGTTTCCAGTAAAAAGGGTCTTTGGTCCCCTACAATCACCATACGCACAGCAGCATTAAGCTGGTATTCTGTGAGAGCGTGGTCCTTCCCCGGTCGAGACGACCCATTTTTGCTACAACCATAATATAGTCATTCATTGTGGCTCTACTACATACAAAATAGCTTTGTTTTCGGAAATCTTAGGTCCTTTTACAAATGAAAATTCTGTTTCTGTTAGTCAGAAAGTACTTTCCAATTAAGAAAATCAAGAAAATGTTAATAAAAATTAATTGTACTATAAACATTATTTTTAATCTATGAACAATCTTAATAACAAAATTTAATAAAGATTTGTTTTTGTAAATCTAAATTATTCTTCGCAAATTGAAGTAAAGTTTCTGTTAACTATAAAACTGCTTTTAGCAAAGACAAGAACTTAAAAATTTAAAACTGGCCCCAGAATAAAAAATCATTCAATGTAAGGCAAAATTTTTCATAAAGTGACTGATTACAGTTATCATGTAAGCGAAGTCTAAATGTTAGATATATTAAATAAAATTATAATTAAAAAAATGATTAATGTTCCAGCTAAAAATTAATAAAAATCATAAAATATGAAAAAAATGTATGCCATATAATTTAGACTTTTATTTGTAGAAATAAATTACCTATATATCCTTAGTGAATCTCGTTTGCGAGGCGACTTCGTATAAATAATTAGTTTATTAATGTTTAGTCAGTAATAAGTTCTTTCGTTAGCTTCATAGTGACTTTGTTTTTACTTTCCTCATTTCCGCCATCTTTGTGTTTATACTATAATTTTTGCTGTTCGATGTCATATACCTTTATTCCCTTAATCCATTGTAAAATTAGAAAGTGTTTATACCAATGTTTGGCGTTATAGCCCATTTACGTTGTGTAGATAATGTTAATAAAGTTACCAATAATTTACGTGATTATTATAATGCTTTTATGGGATAGTGTTTAAAAATGCATTAATTAGAAATTATACAACAAAATTATTTGAATTAATTTTACAGTAATTACTTTAACAATGAATTTTTTGTTTAAAAATTCAAAAAATGATACATGCAAACCGTAGCACTCACGCACTCACTCACACTCATGAGTTTATAAAGGTTCCCTGGTATGTTACTATTAGTTGTACCTACTATTTATCTACCAAATGCATTAAATTATTATTATGGTTGCTTTTTTTTTCTTATACCAGTTATATCGTTCTTTACTACAATTTAATGTAAACATAATAAATGTCATACTTTGTTGTGATGTAAAACTTTTATTGTAATATCATCTATTCTTATGATAAAACAAGTTTCAAAGAGAAGCCAAAGGAAGAAAATAAATTGAAGCAACATAAATATAAGCAAAATTTATATAAGTCTATATTAAATGTATGTAAGGCATGTCCTAAATATATTAAATAGATGTTTTCTGGGTGAAATAAAAACTAAATATATATTATCGAATACTTCATTTTTTATCTTTCCGTAAGTTGTCATAGCTTTCTACTTTTATATCTGCTAAATACTAATTTAATAAATCTGTGTATTTATTAATAAGTAAACTCTATACTCTGCATTGATTAATTTAATATTTTTATAAACATAAAATATATATTATTCTATCCTTATAAACAACATTGTCAAAAATATGATAAATAAAATGTCACATTTATCAGCTCAGGTCGTATTTACATAAACCACAGAACACAATTATTCTGATTTCTGACATAAACCGTTCTAACTGCGCTTAAGCATCAAGAGCAAAATTTATTTTCAAATTCACTTTTGCTTTCATCATAATTTCTGGAAATTATGTTATACTTATGTCAACTATAAAGGCGAATTTTACAAAACTGCCTCGTCTGCTCCCCTCGGTCCCCTACTTTCTCCATTCACAATGTCTATGTTCAAGCACAACCGATGTTTTAACATAAGCTGAGTTGGGGTGTGTACGCTTGCGTAAGAGTATCCGTTCCCATGCGTTCCTTTATGTCAGCTTCCATATGTAATATACACCTCGATATGTATGTACTACGCACTAGATTTCGCATTCCGAACATACACTATGTTCAACTGAACTGTACTGCAATCCGTACAGTGTGTCATTTAGTGTGATTTCAATCTACTAGTTAGTTTGTGGTTTCAATATACATGCAGTGTGGAGCGGCGCTAATAATACAAGATTTCAAATTAAAGTATAAATTAAAAACTGACCGCGCAGGCCCAACGCGTTTAAATCAACTGCGCATGCGCGAGTCTACTATCCATAGATAAATATATATGTAGCAAGCTACTACTATCTCCCCCGAATGCGCAAAGCCATAGAGTAGTGCACATTTTTCGTTTAGAATGGTTTCTCTAGTACATAGTACATATAACTCAATGAATATAGATAACATACAAATAAAAATAAAATTTAAGTGACTGTTTGTAATATCGTTACAGAGCTGGCCTTTAGCTCAAGGGAATATTTGAATGACATTAAGACGAATACACATTTTGAAATGATTCTCTGTCTGTCTGTCTGTTTGTCTGGTCTAATCTTCGGAATGATTGAACAGAATGTGATGAAGCTTTACGAAAAGATACAAAGAATACCAAGAGTGATCTAAAGTTCTAAACTATATTTGATCTGAAAAACATGCAGGAAGTTTTTGTGATGTGTAAAACTGTTCAAATTAATGAGTTTTGATTATTTCATAAACCAAGATATAAAAGAGAATCGATCAAAACTTTTTTCATACCATATTCTACCTCTTAGTATATTGATGCGAAATCGATGTTTAACCTATTTTTCTGCCGACTTCCAAAAAGGAGCCGGTACTCAATTCGACTGTATGTTTTTTTTTTTCGTTTTTTTTTTTATGTGTGTTACCTCAGAACTTTTTTCTGGTTCAACCGATTTCGATGATTCTTTTTTTATTTGAAAGCTGGTACTTCTCGTGTGGTCCCATATGAATTTGATCAAGGTCAGACCAATAGTTTTTAAGTTATTCTTAAATAACTTATATTGAAGTCGGCTGTACAAAATTTTTAATTTTAAATTATTACTTCAACGCCATTTTACAACAAACTAAGAGAGATAAAGGATGAGGTGAAGAGAACTTTTTTACACAAATTTAATAAGCCTTTAATTTTTATATTTAACGTTTTCCCATATTGCACTTAAATTAGTTTTTCGATAATTGAACTATTTGCCCAACGGCCACGTTTTTATGTATAAGTTCTCATGCGGACGAAGTTGCGGGTAAGAGCTAGTAATATATAAAATAAGTTGCTACACTTGTCTACATTTTAAATCTGATAACTGAACTGATGCATAAATAAAAGTTGATGCGTTGAGCATATTTGTATAAAATATCCATTTTCAATAGATAAACAGCGAATCTATGCTGACAAATGTGACTTCAACCTTAAAATGCACTTATATAGATACAGATATGGTTATCCTAAAAATATGTCTAATTGAGCTGTTTAAATAAAATAGGTGTTAAAATATAAATATTTAGCCTAAAGTTTTAACGTTTCTAAAATTCTGGAAATTGAAATAAAATAAAAACGTTAAATAAAATTCTGGAAATTGAAATAAAATAAAAACGTTAAATTGTCTATAAAGTTTTATACTTGTGAAATTATATAATAGAAGTGAAATATTCTAATGTTGTGAATGGTTTTTTTCAGTTTAGTTCAACGTATTTGCTCAATGCTTGAAAAATTATATGCAATTAACGAAGGAACCATTTACAACAGTGTTCAGTACTGTTGAATCACCGCCGCCCTCTGTATTGCATGAGAATCTATTACTTTATTAGTTAACGTGTGCAATACTCATTCATGTATTTATAATAGGTTAAATTTGTAGTAACACCAAATAGTTGACGTGTCGAAATGTTAAATGGTTAAATAACTTTTCTATTCCAAAATTTTAACCTTCCTGTGATCGTGTATGTTGCTATAAAGTATGTTATATGTGGTATCTTCAGAGAAAAAAAAATATAAAATATAACTGTTATTTTGCGTGAGCAAGATTATTGAATAAAATTTTATGTGGTAAATAAATTTCTTTTGTGTAATTTGTATTTGTTTAATTTCTCAACACATTCTAGTTATCGTACAAAAAGTAAGGTGTCCTGAATGTCCACTAACTAAGGACTAAGGGATATGCCATAAATATCTTGTGGGTTCCGA